GATGTTGATGATCACGCCGCCGCGTTCCTTCAGTGAAGGCAGGACCGCGCGGATGCAGTGCACGGCGCCGTACAGCTTGAGCTGCAGGTCGGCCCCCAGCAGGTCGTCATCCATCGCCTCGAACGGTTGCGCATTGCCGGTGCCGGCGTTGTTGACCAGGACGTCGATGCGCCCGAAGTGGTCGCGCACCCGCTGCGCCATCGCCTGAATCTGCTCCATGGCGCCGACATCGGCGGCCACCGGCAGCACTTCTGCGCCGGTGGCGGTGGCGATCTCTTCCGCGGCCGTGTCCAGATCTGCCTGGTTGCGGGCCACGATCGCCACCCGCGCCCCTTCGCGGGCGAAGCGCTCCGCCGCCGCCCGGCCGATCCCGAAGCTGCCACCGGTCACGATGGCCACCATGTTTTGCAAGTCAAGGTCCATGCGGGGCATCATAACCGGCAAATGCAGGAACCGCGCCCCCTCACCAGCGACGAGATCCGCTTCTTTCGCTTCAACGGCTTTCTCAAGCTGCCGTGGCGGCTGCCGCCCGAGCTGGTAGAGGGCATCAAGACGCAGGCCGCCAGCGATATGGAGCGGGCGGCGGAGCCGCTGATCCGCGACTACCGCGGCGACGTAATGCGCCTGTCCGCGATCTGGGAGCGCGGCGGGCCAATCCGGCAAGCGCTCGGCGGCGCCGAAGTGGTGCCGGCGCTGCAGTCGCTGCTTGGGCCGGATGTGGAGCTGATGCTCAATCGCCACAACCACCTCACGCTGCGGCGTCAGGATGACCGTACCGCCATGTCGATCGAGTTGCACCGCGACGTGAGCAACTGGTCACGCACCATCTGCACGATTCTGTTCTACCTGGAAGAAACCAACCTCGAGAACGGCTGCACGCAGATCATCCCCGGCAGCCACCTGCTGCCCAACGTGGCGCCCGGACTGAAGGCGGAGGCCGATCCGTGGTGGATCGCCTCCGGGCTCCTGGAGCAGCGCATCTCCCTGCCGATGCCGGCCGGCGGCCTGCTGGCTATCGACAGCATGTTGCTGCACGCCGCCGGGCGGAACCGCACCGCCGGCACGCGCATGACCCTCACCGCCGGCTACCATGTGTGGATCACCACGCCGGCGGGTGGGATCCGAAGCGGGAGGTGATCTGCGGCGAGCGCGTCTACCGTGGCAACGATGCGCTCCGCCCACGCGCCGAGCGGGAGCGCGCCGCACCGTGAGCAAGCCACGGATCCTGTTCGCCCCGGCGCGCGAGCACACCGAAAAGTGTTCGCCCCGGAGGTGATGGCGCGCCTGGAGGCGCACTTCGAGGTCGACCGCAACGATCGGACGCGACTCTCACCGAGCCGAAGTGATCGCTCGCATTGCAAAATGTGAGGGACTGGTCACAGTTGGGGCAGCAGCGACCCCGGCGTGCTGCGTCCGCGCGGCGCCATGGCGCTCACGTCTGGCATCATGGAGGCGGCCGGTCGCCTGAAGATTATCGCCCACGCCGCCGGCTCGGTGCGCCAGATGCTCGGCGCGGTGTGGCACGACTACATCGCTCCGCGCGGCGTCTGCGTGTTCACGGCGACCGTGGAGATCGGTTACAATGTTGCCGAAACCGCGGTCGGCCTGATGATCATGAGTGCCAAGCGGCTCATGGAATACGCCGTGCACGTGCGCCATACCGACGGCTGGCGATCGCCCGACATCCCGGTCGACGAGCAGCACCTGTTCGGCGCCACGGTGGGCATTGTCGGCGCCAGCGACGTGGGCCGCGTGGTGTTGCGCCTGCTGCGGCCGTTCAATGCAAAGGTGCTGTTGTACGACCCGTATCTCAGCGCCGAGGAAGCACGCGTGCTGGCCGTCGAGCAGGTGTCTCTGGATGATCTGTTCGCACGCGCGGACATCATCTCCCTGCACGCGCCGAGCATCCCGGAGACCCGGCACATGGTGGGCGCCGCGCAGTTGCGGCGCATGCGTGACGGCGCGCTGCTGGTCAACACCGCCCGCGGCAGCCTGATCGATCAGGAGGCGCTGATCCACGAAGCGGGCCGCGGGCGCATTCGGGTGGCGTTGGACGTGACCACGCCGGAGCCGCTGCCGGGCGACAGCCCCCTGCGCGCCATGCCGAACGTGATCATCACGCCGCACCTCGCCGGGCAGGGCCGCTACGGACACCAGCGCATCGGCGAGGCGCCGTGCAGGCACTGGAGGACTTCTTCGCCGGCAGACCGGTGACCGGCGCCGTCGACCACGCCCGTTGGGAGCGGCTGGCATGAGCGGTCCAGTTGCCGCTTCGCGACCGCGCACCCGCCGCCGGCGAGTCGGATGGCGACTCCAGATGCGGCATGCGCGTAACCGGCGATGTTGCCACCGCGACCGGTACGGCGTTCGCTCCGCTGCGCGGTGCGTTCGGGTGCCGACGACTGCGACCCACGCGGGTGACTGACGACATCGCCGCCGCCACCGGCCTGGCGCTGGAGCGGTTCCCCCATCTGCTGTTTGGGTTCCTGTTCGGCTCGGCGGTGCGAGGCAGGCTGCGCAGCGACTCCGACCTCGACGTAGCAGTGTACCAGGCGTCTGACGGATACCTGGAGATCGAGGCGGCGCGCGAACTCGATCGGGAAGCCGAAATCCAGATCGCCTTGGAGCGCGCGACGCAGCGCAACGTGGACCTGCTCCTGCTGAATCGCGCGCCGGCTGCCGTGTGCGCTGCCGCCCTGCTCTCGGGCCGCCCGGTGCTGGTGCGCGACCGGCCGTTCTACACCCGTTACTTTCTCGCCGTCACCGCGGCGGCCAGCGACTTCCTGGACACCGAGCGGGACTATCGCGCCATTCGCGACCGCAGCCGCTCGTTGTCGGTCATCGACCGAAGCCGGCTGCAACGCATCCTGGATTTCATCAGCAGCGAACTGGAGGACCGTGATCGGTTTCGGGACGTTACGCTGGACCGTTATCAGGGCGATCGCGATCTGCGGCGCAACCTCGACCGCTGGGTGGAGATGCTGATCGACGCCGCAATCGACATCGGCAAGATGGTGCTCGCCTCGGAACGGCGTGAGGTGCCGTACACGTACGGCCAGATTCTCGCCGAGTTGGAGGCCGTGGAACGGTTTTCGGACCTGGCCGGCCGCCTGCGGCCGCTGGCGGCGCTGCGCAACGTGCTTGCCCACGAGTACCTTGAACTGCGATTCGGACGCGTGGCGCGATTCGTGGAGTCCGGGGCGGATGCGGTCGACGAGGTTGCCCGCCTTGCGCGGTCTGGCTGCGCGACCGGGATCGGCCTGACACCGAGGATCCCGCCTGATCCGCGCGGCGCGCGCCCGGGTGAGGCGGCGCCGCGTCAGTTGCCCTTCACGCGGTGCATTTCGGCGATCAGTCTCCGGGTCGGAGGGTAGTACTTGCCTGGGATGACCCGTTCGGCGCGGATCTTCTCCTTGACGTAGTTCTCCGCGTTTTCGTGCTCCAGCGCCCACTCCAGGGCGGCCTCGGCCATCCATGAGGGCACTACCAGCACGCCGTCGTTGTCGCCCACCATGACGTCGCCGGGGCGCACCAGCGCGCCGCCGCATTGGATCTGGATGTTCAGCTCGGCGGGAGTGGCGTCGAGTGCGCCGTGAAAGCTGCGGTGCTTGGCGTATATCGTGAGCCCGTAGTCCTCCTCGATGATCACGTCCAGGTCGCGGATGGCGCCGTCGATCACCGCGCCGTCGGCGTTGTTCATGGCAAGTTGCAGCAGACTTCACGTCTCCCAGCCAGCACGTCCCGGCTCGATCCCATGATGTCGGGCACCAGCACGTCGCCGGGACCGCACCTGCCCATCGCGACGTACTCCGGATCATCGACGCCGCCCGGCTTCTCGGCCATCAGGTCGGCACGCACGGGCAGGAACCGCAGCGTGATTGCCCGCGCCGCGAACCGTTGCTTGCCGGGGGTGAGGTTGCGCAGCCCCTCGCACACGTTGAGCGGGCAACCGAAGTGGCGTACCGCGCCGTACACCGTGGCGCCGGGGATCGATTTGAGGCCGTCCAGGACATCCTGCGGCACATGTTTCGGTTTCATGTCGAATGTTGGCATGTTACGTCTCGGGCAAATGAGACCGGGTACGCCGCACCGTGTCAATGGCGACCGGTGCGTCGGCACGCAATACTGCGCGGCCCGGTCGATGAGCTTCGCGCTATTGGATGAGTCCTGCAAGGTTTGACAGCGGTATTCGGCGGCGGTAGGGTAGGCTCGTATTCTCCGTCCACTGCACCAACCGGGAGGTCTGACCGCATGGCTGACAGCGCAGCTACGTTTCCTCGCGACCGGCGCGGCGAGTGGGTTCCCGAGGATCTGCCCAAGCCGTCGCCGGCGTTCTCGCGTCCGTGGCGCATCAAGCGGGCGCTCAACGTCGTGTTCGGCTTCGAGGGCATTCTCGGCTGGCAGTCGCTGATCTACATCGGCCTGACCGTGGTGAGCTGGCTGTTCCTGACCCCTGACATGGCGCGCATGCGCACCTTCGGGATCGGCTGGATCGCCGAACTCTACCTGCGCAACGCGGCGCTGCTGGTGCTGATCGCGGGATCGCTGCACCTGCGGCTGTACGTGCTCAAGTCGCAGGCGACCGCTTCAAGTTCAACGCCCGCTTCCCGTCCGGCGGCAACGGCAAGTTCCTGTTCGGAAACCAGACCTGGGACAACGTGTTCTGGTGCTTGGCGAGCGGCGTCACCATCTGGACCGCGTTCGAGGCGGTCAGCCTGTGGGCGTATGCCAACGGGATCCTGCCGTGGGTGGAGTTCCGCACCAACCCCCTCTACTGCGTGCTGATGTTCCCGGTGATCCACCTGTTCCGCCAGGCGCACTTCTACTGGACGCACGGCTCACCCACTGGAAGCCCTACTACCGGGCCGCGCACCATGTCCACCACCGGAACGTGAACCCGGGGCCGTGGTCGGGATTCTCGATGCATCCGCTGGAGCACCTGGTCTACCTGTCCGGCTTCCTGCTGCACTGGATCCTGCCCGTCGCACCCGATCCACGTGATGTACCACCTGCTGCACGCCGGACTGACGCCGGCCAACGGGCACAGCGGGTTCCATCGCGTCGAGGTGAACGAAAAGCCCAACGTGAAGAGCGGCGACTACTTCCACTACCTGCACCACCGCTACTTCGACTGCAACTACGGCACCACCCAGGTGCCGCTCGACAAGTGGTTCGGCAGCTTCCACGACGGTTCGCCGCGGGCGCACGAGGCGATGCGCGGCCGGCACCGCCGCATCAAGCTCGGCCGCAAGTACCTACCGCAAACGGGCCCGACCGGAGCCCGACGCGTAGCGCAAGCGCGTGGCGCACGATACCGTGCAGAGGTGTAGTGCGCTATCGTGCGCGCAGACGCACGGAGCGGGGCGGGTCGACACGGGCCGCGCTGCGGCGCAGAATCGGAGACCACACCATGGCCCGGCAGGCGCACTGTCGCCGCGTTGGCCGACAGGAGCGAACACGATGGAACGAATACTGTATCGGGACGGCGACAGCGCGAACGCGCGTATGGAGGAGCAGTGGGGGGCGCTGCGCTGGCTGGCGAGCGACGCCATCGGCAACGCCGAGGGGCTGACCCTCGGCCACGTGTCGATCAAGGCGGGCGCCGCCAACCCGCGCCATTGCCACCGCACCTGCGAGGAGGTGCTCTACCTGCTGCGCGGCACCATCACCCATACCCTCGGCGACGAGTCGTTCACCATGCAGGCGGGCGATACCATCTCGATTCCCGCCGGGGTGTTCCACAACGGCATCAACGACGGCGCCGAGGACGCCGAGATGATCGTGGCCTATTCGACCGCCACCCGCGACTTCGTCCTGGAGTAGGGCGGAAAAAGGGAGCTCAGCGCGGCGCCAGCGGCGCGGACTTGAACGACTTGACCTGACCGATGATGGCGCGCTCGGTGGGTAGCCGTTCGATGGAGGAGGCGCCGAAGAAGCCGTCGATGCCGGGCATGCGGGCCAGTGCCTCGGCCACGTTCTCGGGTTCGTCGAACGGTCCCGTGGCAGATCACCAGGAGATCCTCCCGCACCGCGCGACCGGCGGCGGCGATCGCCAGCACGCGCTCGATCGCCTGGTCCAGGGTGAAGGCGACCGCGGCGCCGATGCTGCCGGAGGTGGTCAGGCCGACATGGGCGACGAGCTGGTCGGCGCCCGCTTCGGCCATCGCCGCGGCCTGTGCTCGTCGAACACGTAGGGCGAGGTGAACAGGTCGATCTCGTGCGCCAGCCGGATCGCCTCGATCTCCTTGTCGTAGCCCATGCCGGTGGCTTCCAGGTTGGGCGGAACTCGCCGTCGATCAGGCCCACGGTGGGGAAGTTCTGCACCCCCGAGAAGCCGATCTCCTTGAGCTGCGCGAGGAATACCGGCATCAGCCGACGGATCGGTGCCGCACACGCCGGCAAGCACCGGCGTGTCCTTGACCACCGGCAGCACTTCCGACGCCATGTCGACCACGATGCCGTTGGCGTCGCCGTACGGCATCATCCCGGCCAGTGAGCCGCGCCCGGCCATGCGGTAGCGGCCCGAGTTGTAGATGATGATCAGGTCCGCGCCGCCCGCCTCGGCGAGCTTCGCGGAGATGCCGGTGCCGGCGCCGCACCCCACCACCGGCGTACCGGACGCCGATTGTGCGCGCAGCCGGCGCACGATTTCCTGCCGAGGAATGCCGATCACGCCAACATCTCCTGCACCGGCGTACCGGTCGCCGATTGTGCGCGCAGCCGGCGCACGATTTCCTGCGAGGAATGCGGTATGCATGCCAACATCTACAGCACCGTCGTACAGGCCGCGGACTGGGCGCGCAGCCGGCGCACGATTTCCTGCCGAGGAATGCCGGTCATGCCAGCAGCTCCAGCAGCAGGTTTGCCGCCCGCGCGGAAACTCCGGGTCGTTGATGTTGTGGTCCGCCTCCAGGAACGGGATGTCGGCGCGCAGGTTGCTGCGGATGGCGTCGAAGCAGGCGGCGTCCGCCTCCGGGTCCCAGAACCGCTCGCCGTCGCTGTCCAGCATCGATACGCCGCGCAGCGGCACCAGCACCTTTACCGGCGCGGTGGCCTCGTTGACGGCGGCGGCGATCATCTCGCCGATGCGGCGGTTCTCGGCCACGTTGGTGCGCAGCAGGGTGACGTCCGGATTCCACTCGTACAACTGGCGGTCGCGGTAGTGCGCCGGCACGGTGCCGGGGCCGCCGAAGTTGGCCATGTCCACGCAGCCGGGCACCACCACCGCCGGAACACCGGCGCGGGACGCGGCCAGGCAGCGCTCGGGGCCGGCGTCGAACACGCCGCCGCACACCGTATCCGCCAGCTCGGTGGTGGTGATGTCCAGGCTGCCGACGATGTAGCCGTCGCTGATCAGGCCTTCCATGGTGCGTCCCCACTGCCGGTGGCATGGAATACCAGCACCTCGTAGCCGGCGGCTTCCAGGATGCCGCGCGCATGCTCGACCGCGGTGGTGGTGTTGCCGAACATCGACGCCGTCAGCAGCGGCCGTTCATCGCCGGTGGCGGCCTGCGCGGCGCCGCGGTTGCGTACCATGCCGGCGATGGCGCCGGCGGCGTTGGCGTAGATGGCGCGGCTGATGCGATTCATGCCCGCCACGTCCACCACCGACGGCATGAAGGTGATGTCCTTGGTGCCGGCGAACGCACTCACGTCGCCGCGCGCCACCAGTGGACACGCAGCACTTTCGGACACCCCGACCGGCGCCAGTCTCTGCGCATGGCGGTGGTGGCCAGCGAGGTGCCGCCGCTGCCGCCCATGCCGATGATGCCGTCCAGGCGGCCGTCGCCGTGCAGGCGGCTCACCACCGCGGCGAGCCCGCGCGCCATGGTGGCCATCGCCGCGTCCTTGTGCCCGCCCGACGCGAGGTGCGCAAAGTCGCCGCCGCCGGCCGCGCACACCTCCGCGCGGGTCACGTCCGCGCGAAAGGCCGGTGCTCCCAGCACCCCGAAATCCACCACCAGGGTGGCGACCCCGGCCCGCTCGATCAGTTCCTTGACGAACGCGAAGTCCGCCCCCTTGGTGTCCAGCGCCCCGACCAGCACTACCGTATCGGCCATCAGTTCCTCCCGCCCTTACCCAACCCCAAATCGCGGCGTCCGGCAAGTACCCCGAACCTCCCCGAACCTCGCTACGGCGGGTCGTGGCCCATGAGGGTCATGATGCGGGCGACGTAACCGCGGGTTTCTTCCGGGGCGTGGCCGGTGACGTGGGCCCACAGCACGCAATTGGTGTTGCACGCGTCCTGGGCGCGCAGAATGCGGCTGCGGCCGCCGTTGTAGCTGGCGAACGTGAACGCCAGCCGCTCGCGGGTGTGCGGGATGTCGTCCCAGCGTTCGTACAGCGTGCGGTCGTAGAAGATGCCGGCCGCGATGTTGGCGCCCGGATCGTCGTTGTCCAGCACCGGCAATTCCGACTGTCTCGGCGATCTCCTGGAGGGTGGCCGGCATGATCTGCATGATCCCCTTGGCGCCGACCCAGCTCTCCGCATCCTCTCGCAGGCCGGACTCGGCGATGCCTTGCGCCTTGAACCAGCGCCAGTCGAAGCCGGGCCGAAGAAGCGCTTCGCGTACTTGCGGAACAGGGCATGCTCGTAGCGGTCGGTCCACACGCGCGGCTACACCGAGCGCCCGCGCCCGCAACGCACAAGCCAGCACCACTACCGTACCGGCCCCACCCTGCGCGCCGCGCGCGGAACCGCGCGCAGCGCGGATCGCGCTCCGGCCTGCTATTGACGCCGCGGCATCTGCGTGCGCCTGGATCCGCCGCACCCGACCGCTTCTGCGCCGAGCCGGCCGCGCATGGCCGGCCAGGACGCGTGCGGCCGCTCAGGGGCGGACACCGGCTCGCGCTACGGCGACCCACAGAGCAGCAAACTGAGAACCGAGCAGGTGGGCCAGAGACGAAGATGCGCAGGAGAGGACAGAGCAGAGACTGCGGCGGTCGTTGTCTGGCCGTTCCCGCGCTTTTGGTATCGCGGGTGCGCGCGTGCACGTCGTTCAGACCACATGGCCATGACGCAGCCACGGCGATACCGATGCCGATGAACATGCCGCCGACCATGGTGCCGATTGCGCGGTTCCCGGCCGCCAGTTGCTCCGCGGTGTCGAACGGGGTCAGGTGATCGATCACCTTGTAGCCCACGAACATGAACGCGATAGCGGCGCCCCCGCCGAGCAGGGCGTACAGACAGATTCACACATACGATGTGTCATTCTCTCTCCCCGAGACATCTGACACAAGATACCGCCCCGCACGACGGCGGAGGCATTCATTGACAGGAGTGCGATCCGCCAACATGCTGTAATTCTTGCATCCCGAGACAGGCGACCCAATAAAAACCACCCAGAGCGATCACATTTACACGAAACGCTGGCGGCACGTCTGGAGGCGATCGGCTTTCGGGTGCTGGGGCAGCGGGCCATCGACGAGTCGTTGCTGTATTTCGACACCCAGGACGGGGGCGGTGTTCGCGCGCGGCGGTCGGCTGTGCCGCGAACTGCCGGCGGCGGCATCCCGTGAACCGCCACTGGCGGCCACGTCCAGAGAAACGCCGGCCGGAACGGCGCCGTGGGCGGTTCCGCGGGATGACGGCAGGATGTCGGTCGTCTGCGACTCGCTGGCCGGCGTGCGGACGGCCGTGCCCTGGCTTCCGGATGCGGCTGCGCTGCACCCGATATTGCTGGCGCTGCGCAGCGGTGCCCGCTGCGTGTGTGCTGCGGGCTGGCGACCCGAGACCTGACGGTGGTGATGGCGCGGTGGAGCTTTTGAGCCGGCGCGGCGCCGCCTCGCCAACGGGCTAAGAAGCGCGCCGTTGGACCCGGCCGCGTGTGCCGTGCTGGACGCCGGCAACTCCGGCGCCGCCAGTGCCATCGGTTTCGCCGCGCCCGCGGCGCCCGATGCCGGCGTCGCGTGTGCGTACGTGGCGGCGGACGACGGACGCGCAAAGCAGCGATCGCACCTACGCGACAGGGCGCTGGAAGCGAGAGCACGAGCGTGTGCGGTGGGGCTGCGGCGCGGCCGGCCGGCATAGCACTGCTGCGTGGAATCCGTTGACCGCCGGCCCTGGAGAGCTGATCGGCCGCCTGCCGCCCGGCCTGGCGGCGCCACGCGCGGCCTGGTGTGCGGCGGCGCCGCTCGCGACCGCGGTGCTGGCAAGAGGTACCCGGCTGCAGGGTATGCGCCTGGCAAGCTGCGTGGACGGGATCGTGTGCGACCGCCATCCCGAGTATGTCCACGATGCCCGGGTGGCGGTGCGGCGGGCCCGCTTTGCGCTCCTGGTGGCAGCGGTCAATGGCGACCCGGCGGCGCGTGCGTTGAGCGACCGCCTGCGTCGACTCGCCCGGCTGCTGGGGCCGGTACGCGACCTGATGTCCTGCTGGCTCGGCTCGACGAGAGATGGCCGCGACGCCGTGCAGCGTCCGCGGCTGGGATGGCGCCGGCGGCGCCGCCGCCGAACAGCGCCTGGCCGCCGAGCTGTGGGCGCGCAGTGGAGGAACGGCTGCGCGCCGTGCCGCAGATGACTGGGAAGCCACTACCGGAGACGTCGCCTCGTCGTGCCACAGGCTCCGTGTGGCGCGCGCGGCGGACTTTTGAACCGATCAGCGCCGGCAGCAGCAGCGCGTTGCGCTGCCCTGCGCGCGGTCTCTGGAGCAGTAGAGAGGCCGGTTCAGCGCCGCGTCTGGTCCGAATCCGTCCCGGTTCGCACCCTGCACCGGCTGCGGCTGCGCCCGAGCGCTGCGCTACACGGCGGAGCTGTTCACGGGGGCGCTCCCGCGCAGGCGCGGCAATCGTGCCCTGGAGAGGCGGTCGCGGGCGAGTGCTCCGCCGCTCAGACCGCGCTCGGCGATCTGAACGATGACGCGGTGCGGGCAGCCGAGATCAGCGCCGCGGCAGGTATGATGCGGGCGCCGGCAAAGCGGAGAAATGCAGCGTCCGCTCGAAACGTCGCCGAAAACGCGTGAACTCACGGAAGCTCGCGGAACTGGCGGAGCGGATCATCGCGCTCCTGCGGCTCTGGCAGGAGCGACGCGCCGCGGCTGACTTTCTGGACGGTGGCAGGGGCACCGAGACCGGCTGCGAAGAGCGCTGAAGGAGCTGTTGGAATGACGGTCATTGCACTGGCCGGCGTGAAGGGTGGGGTCGGCAAGACCGCCACCGCGGTCAACCTGGCGGTACTGGCGGCGCGTGCCGACGCCCCCGTGCTGCTGTGGGATCTGGACCCACAGGGCGCCGCCGGTTTCTGTCTGGCCCAGGACGCGGCGCTGCAGCGCAAGCCGGCGCGGCTGCTGTCCGGGCGCGCCGGCCTGAGCACGGAGGCGGTGGCCACGCCGTACCCGGGTCTGGATCTGGTGCCGTCGCGGCTCGGTATGCGCCACCTGGAGCGGCCTGCTCGGGCCGGCGGACCGCAAGCGCGCCGGCATACGGAGGGCGCTGCGCGGGGTCCGGCGCTCGTACCGGTGGGTGGTGCTCGATTGATCGTCCGGGGCGGGGCGACTGCTGGAACACGTGCTGCGGGCCGCCGATCTGGTGCTTGGCAGACGGTGGTTGGATGCCGGTCGCGCGGGCGATCCGTGGTTACGAGGAGCTGCTGGTGCTGGCCGCCAAGACCGGCGCCGCGTACGCCCGCAGTCCGTTCTTCTCGATGGTGGAGGATCGCAAGCGGTTGCACCGGCAGGCGATGGCGGAGTTGCGGCAGCGTGACGCGCGGTTTCTGAACACGGCGATCCCGTATCGCGCCGACATCGAGCGCATGGGCGAGACACGCGCAAGCCGATCGTCGCCCACCACCCCGCATCGCAGGGGACGGCCGCCTACCAGGCGCTGTGGCAGGAGTGCCTCCGGGTGGCGGCGGCTGCGGGGAGCGGGCAGTGACCGGGCGGTGACCGGGGCAGTGCATCGGAGTTGCTGGGTAGCCGGGCCGATCTGCGCTATCATGCGCGGCATGATGCCGCAAGGCATCGAACGTTTGGCGAGAGTTCGCGAGACAAGGAGGCCACGATGCCAGGTTTGTTCGATCTTCCCTTCGACCAGTTGCACGACTACCAGGGTACCAATCCCCGGCCCGCCGACTTCGACGCCTACTGGGAGCGGGCGCGCCGGGAGTTGCAGGCGCTGGACGCGGCGGTGGAACTGGCGCGTCGGCGCAGTTCCAGGCGCCGTTCGCGCGCTTGCGAGCACCTCTATTTCATTCACCGGCGCAGGCGGGGCGCGCGTGCACGCCAAGCTGCTGCGCCCGGTTGCGGCCGCGGCCCCCGGCCCGGCGGTGCTGATGTTCCACGGCTACCGCGGCGAGTCGCCGGAGTGGTCCGAGATGCTCGGCTCGTTACGTCGCGCGCGGCGCTACCGTGGTGACGGCGTCTCGACGTGTCGCGGCCACACCCTGGGCGGGCGCGATCCGACGAGATCGCGTGCCGGCGCGTGGTGTGCTGCGGCACACGCTGTATGGCCACATCATTCGCGGTCTGGCCGACGGCCCGGAGCAGCTCCTGTACCGGCAGATCTTTCTCGACACGGCACAGCTCGCCGGCATCGTGATGGGCCTCGACGAGGTGGACGCCGGGCGCGTCGGGGCGACCGGCGGCTCCCAGGGCGGCGGCCTGACCCTGGCCTGCGCCGCCCTGGAGCCGCGCATCAGGCGCGCCGCACCGGTGTACCCGTTCCTGTGCGACTACCAGCGGGTGTGGGAGATGGACCAGGCCGAGCGCGCCTACCGCGAGTGCGCGACTTCTTCCGCATGTTCGACCCCACCCACGAACGGCAGGCGCACTACTTCGAGCGCCTCGGCTACATCGACGTGCAGCACCTCGCGGACGCGCATCGAAGCGCACGTGCTGATGGGGGTGGGCCTGATGGATCAGGTGTGCCCGCCGTCCACGCAGTTCGCGGCCTACAACAAGATCTCGGCGCCCAAGGAGGTGGCGATCTTCCCCGACTTCGAACACGAGATGCTGCCGGGGTTTCGCGACCGCATCTTCCAGTTCATGCTCGGGCTGTAGCGCCGCCCCGCCTGCAGTCACCCGGAGTTCGCGCGCCGCCTGGGGGTGTACGCCAGCAAGCAGGCCGATCTGGCGGTAGCCGACCAGCGGATACAGCCTGGCGCCGGTGTGGCTGGCGGCCAGCACCGCCATGGTGGCGCCGTGCGCGCGGTCGTCGCGCAGCATGCGGCACAGCATCGCGCGGGCGATGCCGCGCCGCCGATACTCCGGCCACCACGAACATGTTCTGGCACCAGGTGGCGCCGTCCACCACGATGCTGCCCACCCAGCCCACCACGACGTCGTCAATGAACGCCACGTATTGCCGCTGCCGCGCGTCCGGATGCAGGTCTTCGGGGCGGATCTGCCGGCTGCGGGTGGCCTGGTGCAGACGATCGGCCATCTCCGGCGTGAGCACGCGCTCGATGACCGCGGGTTGGGGGACGCGCGGAATGCGCCGCAGCGGGTGCGCCATCAGCGGTTCGGTGGTGTTGAGCCGGTAGTCGAGCGCCTTGAAGCCGTCGCGCAGCGGCTGGTCGGAGGAGCCGGCGGGATGGATGGCGCAGATCGCGTAGCGGCCGCGGGTTTCGGCGCGCGCGGCGGCGTGCACCACCGGCGGCGGCATATTGCAGCTCAGCCACTCCTCGGTGCGGTAGGTGCCCGCTGCGCCGCGGGGCGTCGCGCAGCACCCACAGCCGCGGCGCATCCGGGTAGCCGTGCACGGCGATCGATGTCGCTTCGTAGGGGTGGGTGCGGCTGCGCACGTAGGCGAAGCCGCGCGCGAATACTTCGATGGCGCGCTCCAGTTCCGGGTTGGCGGGTGCCCGCACGGCGTTACTTCCGGGTCCGCTCGACAACCTGCATCGGCATACCGTTGTGCGGCCGCAGCCCCACCCACGGGGCCGGCCGCGGCGGCTCGCCGGCGATCAGGTCGAGCCGGTAGTCCTGTGAAATGCGCGCGATGGCCAGGATCGACTCGGTGGTGGCGAAACCCTGCCCGATGCAGGTGCGCGGACCGCCGCTGAACGGCAGATAGCTGTACCGCCGCGGCTCCGGGCCGTCGAGCCAGCGCTGCGGCCGGAACCGCTCCGCCTCGGCAAAGAACCGTTCGTCGCGCTGCGTCACCCACGGACAGATCAGGATCACCGTGCCGGGGGCCACCGCGTAGCCATCGAGGGTGAATTCCTCGGACGCCATGCGCGGAATGATCGGCACCGGCGGATACAGGCGCAACGCCTCCTTGAACACCGCGTCGCACCAGGTCAGCGCCGGCAGGTCATCCTTGGTCGGCGCGCGGCCGTTCAGGGTCGCGTCCACCTCTCCGATCAGCCGTTCGGCGATCGACGGATGCTGTGCACAGCAGGTACCAGGTCCAGGTCAGCGCGACCGCCGTGGTCTCATGGCCGGCGATCATCAGCGCCACCATCTGGTAGCGCCACTCGGGACTGCGCAGCAGGTCCGGTTCGGCGTCACCCGCGCGGCGCAGCAGGTCGACCAGGTCGCCGGCGCCGTCATGCACGTCCGGGTGCTCGCGGATCACCCTCTCGATCAGTTGCCGTCCCTCCTGCACGGCCTTGCGCAGCTTGAGGTTCTCCCGCGTCGGCACGATCGGCGGCGCCTGGAACGGGTGCGTGGCGCGGTGGGTGATGTCGCGCACGATCGTCTCGCAGGTATCCAGAATCGCGTCGCGGCGGTCGGGATAGTCGGAGCCGTACAGGGAGTTCAGCACGATGTCGAGCGACAGCCGGCCCATTTCGCGATGCACCTCGAGGATTTCTCCCCTGCTGCCAACTCGAGATGTGGCGCTCGGCCATGCGCACCATGGTGGGACCGTAGCGCGCCAGGGCGTTGCCCTTGAGCAGCGGATTGAACCGGTGCCGTTCGCGTACCCAGAAATCCTCGTCGCCGGGAAAGTTGATCACCCGGTACACGTCCTCGCCGCCGGCCAGCAGGTAGTCGAGGCGGGTAGGGGGCTTCGACTTGCTGCGCGTGAACCGGCGCGCGTTGGTGGCCAGTACACTTTCCAGCAGCGCCGGATGGTTGATGAACAGCATCTCCTGCCGGCCCGCCGTCAGCCGCACGATATCGCCGTGCTCGCGGGCGGCGCGGGTCAGGAAACCCAGGGGATCGCGGCGAAAATGCAGTGCGTTGCCGACCAGCGGGACGCCGCGCGTCCCGGTGCGATGTGGTTGCTCAGGGGCGCGCCTCCGCGGGAGTTGGTAACCTCAATGCTGCCCGCGCCCGCCCCCGCCGGTCAACCGCCATCTCAGGCGGTGTTGCAAGGCGGCGGTGATGGCGGGGAGGGTGCGCTGCAGCTCGCGGTCGGTGTGGGTGGCGCCGACGTACCAGCGGCCGTCGGGCAGCAGGTAAATACCATTCGTGCAGCAGGGCGGACGCGGGAAGCGGGCGAACGCCGTGGCATCGGCTGCCAGGGTGTCGGCGTAGCAGCGCGGCGGCTTGCGCAGGCCGAAGTGAACGCTGAACACGCTTCCGGCGCCGCAGGTGACCAGATCGACGCCGAGGCGGCTTGCTTCCTGCTCCAGGTGGCGGCGGATGGCGCGGCCGTGGGCGTGCATGGTGTCGTAGGTGTCCGGCTCGGAGAGCACCTCCAGCGTGGCCAGGGCGGCGGCGACGGCGACCGGCGAGCCGTTGTTGGAGCCGGAGTGCACGGTGCGCCCATCGAGCAGGGGTGCGAACGCCGCGCGCGCTGCCGGCGACGGCGGCCAGCGGGAAACCGCCGGCGATCGCCTTGGCATACAGCGACAGGTCCGGCGTCAGGCCGTAGTACTCGCGGGCGCCGCCGAGCGCCACCGGAAAGCCGGTGATCACCTCGTCGAAGATCACCAGCGCGCCGTGGGCACGGGCGGTCTCCAGCAGGCCGGCCAAGTAGCGGGCGCGGCTCGCAGCAGCCGGAGTTGGCCAGCAGCGGTTCGGTGATCACGCAGGCGATCTCATCGCCGTGCGCCGCGAACGCCGCCCGCAGCGCGTCCAGGTCGTTCCATGGCGCCACCAGGGTGTCGGCATACTCGGCCGCCGGCTGCCCGGCGGCCAGCGCCGGCACCGGCCGCGCCGCGCCCACGTCAGCCGGAGGGGGTGGGTGGGACACCAGCACATTGTTCATCCAGCCGTGGTAGTGGCCCTCGAACTTGAGGATCTTGTCGCGCCGGTGGCCGCCCGCGCCAGGCGCAGCGCCACCTGCACGATCTCGCTGCCGGAGGAAGCGAACGTAACCAGGTCCACCCCCGGCAGCACTTCCCGTCAAGCGCTCCGCGAGCCGCACCTCCAACTCGTGGCCGGCGCCGACGGCGTAGCTGCGCCTCAGCTGATCGCGCACGGCGGCGTTGATGCGCGGGTGGCAGGAACCGGCGATCAGCAGTCCCCACGCCAACGTGTAGTCCAGCAGCTCGTGGCCGTCGGCATCATACAGATAGGGACCGGCGCCGCGCTCGAAGGAGAGCACCGGCGTGACCTGGGCGCGGAAGCTGGACGAGACCCCGCCGGCAGCACTTTTCTGGCACGGGCCAAGCGCCGCGCCGATGTGTCGTAGCTGCGAACCACCTCGTCCACGATTCGTCCATGGTAGACGGAGATGCCGTTCAGGATCACCCCGATCCGCTGCACGCGATCTTCCATCTCATGCACGCCGGTGTCTCACCAGTTCCCGGCCATACCGGCTTCTTCAAGATCGAGGTCGGCGACGAGCACGAGATCAACAACGCCGGGTACTTTCACTACCTCCATCACAAGTACTTCGACTGCAACTACGGCGGCGAGATCATCCCGCTCGACAAGTGGTCCGGCAGCTTCTTCGACGGCTCGCCCGAGTCCGAGGTGGAGATGCGCGCCCGACGCAGGCGCCTGAAGGGCAACCCGGGTCAGGTGGAGTAGGGTCGGCGGCGTCGCGCAGGCCGTCGCCGACGAAGTTGAACATCATTACCGCCAGCAGCACGAATGCGCCGGGAATCAGCAGCCAGGGTTGCAGGCCGAGCGCCGAGATCGACTGCGCATCCTGCAGCAGCGTACCCCAACTCACCGCCGGCGGGCGGATACCCAGATCCCAGGAAGCTGAGCGCGGTCTCGCGATGATCATGCCGGGGATCGCCAGGGTGGATGGGTGATCAGGTAGCTGGCGAAACCGGGAATCAGGTGGCGCTGATGATAGCGCCGTTCTTGGCGGCCCGCGACCTGGGCCGCCATCACGAAGTCTTCCTCGCGCAGGCTGATCAGCTTGCCGCGCACTACCCGCGCCAGGCCGGTCCAGCCCTTGCACCGCCAGGATCAGCGTGATTGCGAAGTAGATCTTGAGGATGCCCCAATCGTGGGGCAGCGCGGCCGACAGTGCGATCCACAGCGGGATGTTTGGGATGCTCAGCAGCATCTCGATGATACGCTGGATCGCCTCGTCGGCGACCCCTCCGTAGTAGCCGGAGATGCGCCCAGGATCACCCCGAGGATGAACGACACGAACACGCCGCCGAAGCCGATGAACAGCGAGATGCGGCCGGCGTAGAAGATGCGCGAGAACACGTCGCGCCCGAGCTGTCGGAGCCGAACAGGAACAGCGGCACCGACGGGTCCTCGATTCCGAACAGCCTGGTGTTCCAGGGGACGAAACCGAGCAGCGTGGACGGCTCCTCGCTACGCACGAAGAAGCGAATGATGTGCTCCTGGTCGTGCTGTTGGGTGTAATGGTACTTGAAGGTAGCCTTGTCCAACTCGCGCACCGTGGCAAACACGAACGGCCGGCTCAGTCCGCGCGTGGACTGACGATGCGGATACGCGTCGGCGGCGCCTCACCGAATTCCTTGAAGCGATACAGCCGGATACGGTGTGAAGAACTCGGCGAACATCGACACGACATAGAGTGCGGCAAGCACCGCGACCGCTACCACGGCCAGCTTGTGGCGCGGAATATTCGCCCACCAGTGTGCGCCGAGCTCCACGCGTAAGAAGGCAGAGGGCGTCGGGCACCAGTGCGCAATGTCGGCCGCTGTCGCAGGGGTAAGCACAGCCGCATCAGGCGCAAGCGGGCGAGCAGTGGCTGCGTCGCCGCCGTCCCGTGCCATCAGCCGGCGCTCCGTCCGAAGCGGATGCGGGGATCGATCATCGCCAGCAGAATATCGGAAATCAGCGTGCCGACGATGATCAGACCACTCAGGATCATCACGATACTTCCCACCAGGTACATGTCCTCCGACAGCGCCGCTTCCAGGAGTATCGGGCCCAGGGTCTCGAGGCCGAGCACCCGCGACACGATCACCTCGCCGCTGACCAGAGCCGGCAGCGTCCAGCCGATGGTGCTGACCAATGGGTTGAAGGCGATCCGCACCGGGTACTTGAAGATGACGCGCGACTCGCGCAGCCCCTTGGCGCGTGCCGTGGTCACGTACAGTTTCTTCAACTCGTCGAGCAGTGTCCCGCGCAGGATACGTACCAGCGGAGCGGTGCCGCCCACGGCGATCACGAACACCGCCAGCCAGGCGTTCTTGGCTACGTCGACCAATTTCGGCCACGACCACGGGGCGTTGCGGAACTCCAGCGAATACAGACTGGTGATGGCATGACCGGTGTACACGAACACCAGGTAGGCAAGCCCCAGCGCCAGCAGGAAGTTGGGGACCGCCAAGCCGAGAAAGCTCATGGTGGTCGCCAGGTAGTCGGTGAGCGAGTATTGCCGCACCGCGGAGTAGATGCCGAGGGGAACGGCGATGATCCAGGTCACCGCGAACGCCGCCAGGGTGAACGCGATCGACAGTGGCAGCCGCTCCAGGATGATGTCCTTGACCGGCACGTTGTAGATGAAGGAGCGCCCCATTTCTCCCTTCAGCAGGAAGTTGCGCATCCACCGGTAATACTGCACCGCCGGTCCGCGATCGAGTCCGTACTGGCGGTAGAGCTGTTCTACCGTGCTTTCGTCGGCCAGAAATCCCCGTTCCTCGAGGCGCTGGATGTAGGTCTCGACGTAGCTCCCGGGCGGCAGCAGGATAATGGCGAAGGAGGCAATCGAGATCATCACCAGCAAAGGAATGGCGATGAAGATACGTTGGCGGATGAAGCTGAGCACGCGCTAGTCAGGTAAAGCGAACGGGCGGGGATTCAACTCCCCGCCCGCTTCGATTGTCGGTAGGCAATCGGCCTAGTTCATGGTACGGAAGAAGAGCTGCTCCATCCCGTAGTCCAGCGCCCGGTCGAAGGGATAGCCTTCCTTGATGACGTTGCCCATATCGGCGTTGTAAACCGTTGGCACGGTCATGCTGCCGGTCGGCCAGATCGATACGTAGTTGCGGCTGAACCAGTCCATCAGGTCGGCGAATGCCGCCTCGCCCTGAGGCGACTGCGGCGGATACACCTTCCATGCTTCCACAAGTCGAAGTACTCCATCATGTAATCCGGAGGCTCGCGACCGGTCTCTCCGCCGGTGTTGTAGTAGAGGTAGGACTGCTGTGCCCAATCGCCCTTGGCGTAGGGCCCGAAGTCCTCGGAGATGCCCGGCGCCCAGATCGGACGGTCGGACCAGTGAACGGTGGCCATGTGTTCGTTGTTGGCCTGGCGCTGACTCCAGATCTGGCTGCCCAGCACGGTGAACGAAGTGCGGACCCCGATCTCCTCGAAGTACTGCTTGAACAGCTCGCCGACCAGCAGGAAGTCCGGCGACACGTTGGCGGTGATGATGTCGAGGGTGAACGGATTGCCGTCGGGACCGAAGCGGATCCTTCCGAGTCGCGGTGTCCATGCCGACCGCATCAAGCAGCGTGTTGGACTGAGCCGGGTCGTACGCGAGGTCGGTGATGGTGTCCAGCTTGTACATGCCGAAGTAGACGTTGTCGTTGACGTCGTCCTTGTCGACCGACAGCGCCAGCGCCTTGCCGAACCGCTTGTCGTTCATCAGCGTCTGCCACGCGCTACCCTCTTTGTCGTACTCGAAGTCCTGGTTCAGGAACAGCACCGGCGGGTTGTTGATGGAGCCGTGCAGCACCGTGGCGATGCCCTTGTCCGCGTTCTCGAGGTAAATCGGCAGCTCCTTGAGCTGCGCGTAGCTGGTCACCTACGTCGTATTCGCCAGCGGCGGTGTTCAGCTTGATCGCCTCCAGGTCGGCGGAGTTCTCGGCGACAATGAAGTCGGCGTAGGGGAGCTGATTGCCGGCCACGTCAACCTTCCAATAGTAGGCGTTGCGCTCCAGCTTGTAGCCGGTGCTGGTGGCCTCGATACCGACCCACGGCGCCAGCGACGGAACGTCCATTCCGTGCGCTCGGTGCAACTCCCAGTGCGGCATGTCCTTGAGCTGCACGAGTTGCTCCCAGGTTTCGACCTCAAGCTCGTCCAGGATCGGCTGAATCTTGTCCATCGGCGTGTAGTCGGCGTGAAACTGCTGATGAAGTGCGCCGGCCGAAACAGCAGTGTGTAGTCGGGAATCCACGAAGCGAAGGTTCGCAGTAAAGAAACTTCCGTACGGCTGACTGAACTCCACGCAGAACGACAGGTCGTCGATGATGGTGACCTCCGGCGGGCTGCCGTCGGGGGCGGTGGCGCGGAAATAGAAGGTCGGATAGATGCGCTCATCGGCGTACAGCTCGAAGGTCATGCGCACGTCTTCGGTGGTCACCAGATGGCCATCGGACCAGCGCAGGCCGTCGCGGATGGCGAAGCAGAACTTGGTGAAATCGTCGTTGATGTCGTATGTCGCTGAGCGAGATCGCCGCACAAAGAAGGCTGTAAGATCTATGTGTTCGGGTGGGCTGATCGGAGCGCGCAGGATCGACATGCCGAGCGCCAGATAGATCTCGTGCACGCCGCTGTTGTTCAGGTTGGGCACGCGGAACGTACCTGCCGAACATGTTTTTGCCGGCTCGACGTCCAGCAGCCACTCCTCGGAGTTCAACACCCCGGGGCCGACCACGAACGGTTCAGCGGGAATTCGATCCTCAATGGGGCGGCAGTTCGCCGGCGGCCACGCGCGCGGCGAGCAACGGCGACTCCTTGAAGGTCGCGGGAACGGCGTATTTCTGCCGCCCCGTCGGGTCCATGGCCCACTGGGACCATGCGGTGGTGCCGACCACCAGCAGCGTCAGCGCTGCCAGTAAACGCACATATTTCGTCATGTCAGATCTCCATCCTGATGCGAATCTACCGTTGTGATATGCCCACCTATGAGCATAATTAGCGGCGAATATATGCGATTCCCACGCCGCGTGTCTACACGCGGAGCGCGTGCACAATTCTCGGTGAGCGGCCTTAGCGGCGTGGAAAGAGGCAAACTGGCGACATGAGGGGGTCCAGGAGGTGGCGGGAGGGCCATATGGCAGGACGAGGCCGTCGCCGGAGCGCCAGAACCGAGGTCGGGGCGTTGGAGCGAGCCAGTGTCGACGCGGCAGAGCGCAAAGCGGTGACACTGCGCAAGCTATGGTGCGCAGTTGTCGGCACGCGGCCCGCCGGAGGCGTAAATGCAACGATGGAGTCCATGAACTACCGAGACCGAGAAGGCGGCAGTTGCTCCGGCGGCGAGTTCATGCGCACCAGCACCTGGTCCCACGAGGTAAACAGAAACAGCCGGAAGGCGGAGCGCACCTCGTCCCAGAACGCGCGGCGGGAACTGAAGAAGGTGCGCACGCGCTGATACAGGCCATCGACCAGCTCGAAGATCTGGTGCATGAAGAACGCCAGCAGGTTGAGCACGAACAACGCCTCCGACAGGTGCCGGTCGCCGTGGCCGAAATTGTGCTTCAGGTGGTAGCCCTGGTTCTTGAGGGTGTTGAACCCTTCATTCTCGATCTTCCAGCGCGCCCGCGCGGCGCGCACCAGTTGGACGATGTTGTCGGTGGTGGGCACCAGGTCGGTGACCCAGGCATTGCGATAGGTAACCTTGCCGTCCTTGACGATCCGGA